GTCGAGTCGGCCCCGACTCATAGCGGCCCCTCCTTGGGTTGCCGAGGCAGTATCACTACGGAAGTAGATTGCCCAACCTTCCTTCTGAGGAGTGGCTGGTGGGTTTGAATTGCTAGCCTTCTGGTTAGCAGTCAAGTGCCTTAGTAGATTGCCCAATCTTCCTTCTGAGGAGTGGCTAGTGGGTTTGAATCACCAGCCTTCTGGTTAGCAGTCAGATGCCTTAGGCACTATGCCACCAGAGCTCCCAAACCTCCTCTAGATAGGTTCAAACCACCAGCCTTTCAGATAGTTGTTGTTATCCGCAGTCGAGTCGGACCCCACTCATAGTGACCCTTCCTTGGGTTTCCCAGGTGGTATCGCTCCGGAAGTAGACTGCCCAACCTTCCCATACCCTGTTTGTGCATATTGCCCAAAGGCATAGAACCGGATAGGAGTGGGCAGGTCCTCTCAGGGAATAGACTAAGGAGCAGAGGCTGGGCTGGTTGGGGTGGGGGCGGCCTGACTGTGTAGGAACCCCAGGAAGCACCTTTTCCATGTTCATGAGCGCGGTGAGTAAGTCCTGCTGGCGGTCGTGCATGTCTAGAGAGGTCTTGCTCTCCATCTGCAGGTTCAGCGTCATGCCCCTATGCATCATCTCTTCTTCCTGCTCCTGGTTGAAGCGAATAGAGCGAACTTCTTCCACGATCCTGGGGGCAGGGCAGTGAGTGTGTCCTGAGGCTTCCGGGAGTTGGGGTGAAGGGCAGTCCTCTCACCTCTTCCCTGGCATCCGCCCCCCCCCCCCTTGTCCTCCTCCGCAGCCTGGAGAGCGATCCAGGCCCAGCTGTGCCATGTGTGAGATGGGAGAGAATATGGAGGCTGGTTTCCAACTCTTACACCAACAAGTTAGTTGACCCTGGGCAAGTCACTTAATGTCTCTGGGCCCCTGGGTCCACACTGTTAAATGCCGAGGGCATGAGGTCAGAAGACTCTGCAGCTCTGCCCTAGCCCTGACTCACAGGCCTCAGGGATACCCCCCAGTACCGCGCCTACGTGTTGAGCTCATCTCGTATCTTCTTGTACTGCACCAGGTTCTCCTGTATCGCTTCAAGCACCAAACAGAAGTTGTCGCATGTGGTCTCCGAGAGGTTCCACAGGGGACCTCCCACCAGTGGCTCCTGGGGGAAGCCAGACTTCTCCAAGCGGGCGGCTGTACAGTGCACCAGTGCAAGCTCTCTGCACTCGTACTCCTCATCGCCTGCCTGGGGAGAGGGTGGTAGAGTGGAGAGGGAACTCACGGTGCAGGCTTGGCACCCACTCCCCTAGTCCCTTACTGCTTGGATTCCGGAAGGAAGGATCCTAGTCTCTTAAGGACATCAGGGTTCTAATGCCCCTCATTTCAGCCTCAACCAATCTTAGCCTCCCTAGCTTGCTATGGAAGCTGAACCTCAAATACACAAACCCTCTGGTAGCGTAGTCCCTAAGGCATTTGACTGCTAACAGAAGGCTGGCAGTTCAAACCCACCAGCCACTCCTGGGAAGGAAGGTTGGACAATCTACTTCCATAGTGATACCCCCTCCAAAACCCAAGGAAGGGTCATTATGAGTCAGACTTGAGGGCAGTGAGTTTGGTGGTGTTTTGTTTTGTTTTGTTTTTCCCCCACCTTAAAGGGAAAGTCTCACTCCCTTTCAAAACTTAGGTCCTAAATCTGACCCTTGATAAGCCCTGCCCAGCAAACTTCTGAAGTTCTACGTATTTTGTACTCTCAAGCCACAGGCCTCAAATTACTTTGGGAAGTATACCCCCACACACACACAACTTTATGGAATCTCTACCCCTGAATGAGTAAGACTGTAACTAATATTTACTGAGTGCTCACTATGGGTCAAGCACTGTGCGTTAACCCATGTAATCCTAATAGTCTTATGAGGTAAGTACTATTATCATTCCCATTTTACAAGAGAAGAGATTGAGATCTAGACCAATGAATGAAGTCACCCAGCTGTTAAATTTGTGGTTGCCATAGAAACAGGATATCTAGGAAATCCCTATGCATCAGAAACACCAACTGGTGAGTTGGCACTCAAGATGAGGGGGATGCTGCCTCCAGGTCTCAAGCTTGGCTTTCTCCAGGGCCCTGCCCAAACACACTTGCCCTTAAGTGTATAAGCACTGGCACACATTCACATATGCTCAGTCTGGCATTCATACACATTCTCTCCTCCCTCCTGCCCTGCCCATCCCACTCACCTCACTGAAGGCTATTACATGCTGCTGCCCTTGATCTCCACCCTTCATCATTAGTTCCAGGTTGGTAGTCACGACGACAACCAACAAGTTGATGCCAATGAAGGCACCGATGGTGATGAAGATAGCAAAGTAGATGGCGCCCCCGATCTCCACGGCATACTCTCTGTCCTGCATCCTGGAAATGGCAGATAGGGGCTCTGCCATCTCCCTGGACCCTTGAGCCTCAGTTTCCTCAACTGTGAAATGGGGACAGTATCCCAAGGCCTAGTGGGGCTTCTGCCTGCCTCACTGTGGTTGTGCACTACTCCTGATTGTCACAGCAGCTGCTTGTCACTGAGTACCTGCTGTGCTGACAGACAGTAAGCCAGCTCTCAAGCCTTCCCTGAAAGGCAGGGGTTTGGACATCATTACGGGTGGCATAGTGCCTAAGGCTGCTAACCAGAGGCTGGCAGTTCAAACCCACCAGACCTCGAGAGGAAGACTGGGCAATCTACTTCCATAGTGATACCGCCTTGGAAACCCAAGGAGAGGTCTCTACGAGTCGAATCCGAATCCGACTCAAAGGCAGTGATTTTGGTTTTGTTTTTTTTCCTTGAGTTCTTTAGATTTGCTATTCCCATTATGTATTCTTTGAATCACAACCTCCTTTCCTGGCTTGTTTCAGCTGAGAACCACAGTCTACAGCAAGATGACCCTGAAAAAAGACACCGAGCCTTGGAACGACCAAGATAAAGGAGACAGAGCTATCCCTGGTGGACTGAGAGGCCTGAAGGTGCTCACTCCCATACTCTCCCCCCTTGTAAAGTGAATCTCTGCAATCAGCCGTGTCGTTGTTGTTGTTAGGTGCCATAGAGTCATCTCCGACTCATAGCAACCCTATGCACAACAGAACGAAACACTGCCAGGTCCCCTGCCAGCTCCATGATCCTTGCTATACTTGAGCCCATCTCTCAGTCAGGCATGAGGAACCTGGAAAACACTTCTCCTGACCAAGACCGTTTTCCTGTCACTGACGGGAAGTGGAGCTGAGAAGACACAAGACAACTATAATTCATCCCGTGACCGGTAGAAAACATTATCGGCATTCCCCAAATCCCCCCTACCCCTTCATGTCAAATCCCTTTAAAAACCTTAATTTTCCAGCTCAGGGAGACAGACATTTTAGAGAAATGATTCTCATTGTCTCCTTGGGTATCGATACTCAATAAACCCTTTGCTTTCTCTCTTCAACCTGTTGTGATCATTGGCGTTTTGCAACAAGGGGTAAGGACCTTGTTTTCCTACAACAAGGGGATTCACTCCCTACAGTGGACTAGAAAGTAGGACATAGACTTAATAAGCAAAATGACCTTGGGCAGTAGGTCTAAAAATGAATGAAATGAGACTCTAAACAAGAGTCCAGGCAGTTTGGTGGGTTTCACTGTGGGCTGGGACACTGCCTTGTAACCCTGGGCTCAACCATAGACCTGCTGCCCCATCCAAGGCCTAGCTATCTAGCTTTTTAGCATGATGGGAAGAGTTCCCGTGAACAAGCCAAGGGTGGGACTTTGAATGGGTGGGGTGCTTCCAAAAGCTGACCACAAACTTATAGAGCCATCTCGTTTTCCCCCGTAAAGGCCCTGCATCATCTCCAGTTGGGTCATCAGCTTTCCAATACCAAGAGGCCTTATTTCCATTGAGAGCCTTCTCCCTTCCCAATCAGATTCCCTGCCCGTGGTGAGCTCCAGCCCTTCCCTACCAGGCTAGGATGGGGACTGGAAGCTCTACTGTCACTCACTGGAAGTCACTGTAGATGTCTATCCAACCATCCTGGGTGATGCAGATGAAGAGGGTGTAAAGGGCAACTTGTATGTTCCGGAAATGTTTGGGCACCGACGCACCAAAGAGTGTGACCCCAAACACAGAGAACACCTGCAAGGAGACCAATGCCCCCCCCCTTGACTTCACCTGGCCTTGGGGACAGGACACGCCAATGCCATGCAAATGAACATTGCCAAGTAAATTGAGGGGATTCAGACCCACAGGCCTCTCCCCTTCTTTAGACACTCCCACCCAGAACCCAGGGGCCCAGTTCAAGGAAAGGGAGAGGCTGGAGGTGTGGGAGGGTACTGACCAGCATGAAGAAGAGGATGAGAGTCATGATATTCACCATGCCAGGCACTGACTGCGTGATGACATGGATGATCCGGGCCAGGGGCTCCACCACCATGCACACGTGCACCAGACAAAGTGCCCTATGGCAGAGCTTCTCAGGGCTGTACCTCAACCCTTCCCAGACCCTTCCTCCTCACTGCCCCACCACCTGCCCAGAGAGGTAGAGCTGATTCCCAGCTGGTAACAACCCCACCACACTCTCAGTTGCAGACAGGACCACCTCTTCCCTCCAGAGCTCCCAGCTTACCTGAGAGTATAGGTGATAGAGATGACATTAAGTTCTTCAATGAAGAAACCCAGGAGCAAGACAAAGATGATAAGGAAGTTGAGGATGTTCCAGATGTCCTGGGGGGTGGGCCAGCCCCAGCAGGGTCTGTCAGGCCCAGCTTATGGGGGCATCCTGGGTCTGCCCTTTCCATACCCCAAGGATGGGGGGCCGGTGTTCCTTTGGGAGCAGGGCCAGTTGGCTACCATCCACTGCAGTTACTCACTCTCTACCCCCCAAAACATGTCCCTGAATGCACATGCACACTCTATACCATACATGGTTAACAGCCAAGTGCAGGCTCAGAGACACATTGTGAGGTCTACATAACTAATGCTACCTTGGAAGCTGAGCTCCCACCTTGGTTAACATACAGCTGAAATGGCCTTGGCCTATAGCTAAGTGACCCAAGAATGGGTCTGTGTGGCACACACTACAATAAATAATAAAAGGAAAACAAATACTAACAATAACATCAAGGAATACCACTTCAGTAGCCAAAAAGACAAAATAGCTCTCACAGCTTAAGGAAGGGTAACAGGCAAATTGCGGAAGCTCTTTATCAATAAGGCTCTTTGTCAACAATAACTTGTTTATAAAGACGGGGAAAAATAAAGGAAACTCACAGTAAAGAGGGGAATGTGCTAACAAATAGATGCATTTACCCTTTGGCCAATGATCCCATTTCTAGAAATCTGACCTGCAGTTACTGTTGTTAGGTGCCTTAAGTTGACTCTGAGTCATAGTGAACCTGTAGCATAGAACTGCCCCATAGGGGTTTTTCTAGGTTGTAATCTTCATGGGAGCAGATTGCCCTGGAACCTCTGGTTTGAACCGCCAACCTTTCGCTCTTAACCCACAGATACTCTGGTGCAGGTACAAAATGACATTTGTATAAGGTTGAGAACAACTAAAGTGCCCAGCAGTAAGGGACTGGATGAATAAACTACAGTACCTTCATTCAACAGAATACTTTGGAGCTATCAAAAGAAAAACGAGAAAAATCCCCATATAGTGATAAGGAAAGATTCCCAGAATTATTGAGAGTAAAGCAAAGTGCAGAATAATATTCATAGTTGGCTGCCATTCAGAAAGGGAGGACTAAGAATATATACATATTTGATTATGATTAACCCGCTGCCATTTAATCAATTCCAACTTACAGTGATCCTATAGGACAGAGGAGAACTATACCATAGAATTTCCAAGGCTGTAAATCTTTATGGAACCAGACTGCCTCATCTTTCTCCCACAGAGCAGCTGGTTGGTTTGAACTGCCAACATTTTGGTTAGCAGCCCAATGCTTTAACCACTGTTCCACCAGAGCTCCTTTGTTTATGATTGAGAAATTAAATATTGGGAGGATAAACAAGAGACTATTCAGAAACAACTGGATAGCAGAGGGTTTGGTATAGATATAACAATGTTACCTGGACAGGGTACACAACAAAACAACGCAATGCACTACTGTCGAGTCGGGTGCAACTCATAGCAACCTCTCCTTGGGTTTCTGAGGCAGTATAACTATGGAAGTAGATTCCCCAACCTTCCTCCCAGGAGCGGCTGGTGGGTTTGAACCGCCAGCCTTCTGGTTAGCAGTCAAATGCCCTAGGCACTATGCCATCAGAGCTCCCCCTAGACAAGGGTTGTTGTTATGTGCCGTCAAGTAGGACTCAACTCATACCGACCCCTCATTGGGTTTCCAAGGCAGTATCACTATGGAAGTAGATTGCCCCATCTTCCTCCCGAGGAGTGGCTGGTGGGTTTGAACCGCCAGCCTTCTTGTTAGCAGTCAAGTTCCTTAGGCACTATGTTACCAGAGCTCCTTAGACAAGGGTGGTTGTTGTTGTTATGTGCCGTCGCATTGAACCTGACTCATAGCGACCCCTCCTTGGGTTCCCAAGACAGTATCACTATGGAAGTTTGCCCCATCTTCCTTCCGAGGAGTGGCTGGTGGGTAGACAAGGGTAGGGGTATGGAAAATGGGAGGAAGGGGACAGGAGTAGAAGCAAGAATTCTGTGTATACCTTTGAATATAGTGTTGACTCTGGATGTGTATCTGCATTAAATATTCAAAAAGAAAGCAATTTTTAATGGAAAAATGTTTTTTTAAAATAATTTATTAGTATTGTTGAAATATATACAGCAAAGCATACACACTTCAACAATTTCTCCATGTACAATTCGGTGACACTGATTACATTCTTCAAGTTGGACAACCATCTCATCCTTTTCCAAGTTGCTCCTCTCCACTGACACAAACTCCCACCCCCTAAGCTCCCATCTAATCTTTCAAATTAGCTGTAATCAATTTGATCCTATTTAGATAGTTCTTTAAAAAAGAACACAATGTTCAAGAGAGACATTCTTTACTAATTAAGCTAAAGTGTTATTGGGTTTTAAGAAGACTTCAGGGGGGTGAAGGGAAGGGCAATGCACCAAATGTGAGTGATCAACATGGTGGCATTGAGGAAGAGGAAGACATGGAGAGGTGCATGGGAAGTACCGACAACAAAGATGAACCCTTTTGCACAGACAGTACTGTGTTGTCAGTGAACGCAAACATTGATATACGAGTAGATAGATAGGTAGGCAGGCTGAACAATTACGTATGTCTATGCAGGGGGGAGCGTGCCCATGACCATGCATAGGGCTGGCAGATGTTTCTACAAGTGTATTTGTATATTCTGTAAGAATTTCCATGTACATAGAAGAACTGACAAGGGACAAGGTTGTAGTAACTTCTTGGCCACCCAGCTACCTGGAGGAGCAAGTAGTTGGATCTGTGGGCTCGGGACTATGATCGCAGGGGACATCAAGCTCAAATTGGCATACATTAGAGAGATGCAAACCAAAACAATAATGAAATATCATCTGGTCCCAGCACTAGCAGCAAAGTTCAACAAGACAGAAAATAACAAATGCTGGTGAGGACGTGGAGAGATTGGGACTCTCATACACTGCTGGTGGGACTGCAAAATGATACAACCACTGTGGAAAGCAGTATGGTGATTCCTTAAAAAGTTGGAATTAGAAATACCATTTGACCCAGCAATTCCATTACTGGTATATATCCTAAAGAAGGGAGAGCCAGGACAAGAACAGATATATGCATACTCCTTGAAGAGATCCCTCATGGGAGAATAGAAGGGTTGTGTGTGCACAGGGAGACAGCTCAGGGGGCAGGAGTGCATGGGAAGGAAGGACACAGGGAAGAGGTAACTATGGGGAGGAAGTGGGAGGGGAGCTGTTATATTGTGGTAAATTGCAGTCAAGATTATGAGACAAAGTGTATGTGAGCTGCTGTATGGCAAATGAATTTGCTCTGTAAACTTTCACCCAAATCACAATAAAAATTAAAAAAAAAAAAAAAGCTTACTACACAGAAACATTGTTCCACATCCTACTTTGGCGAGTAGTAACTGGGATCTTAAAAGCTTACAAGTGGCCATCTAGACCCAACGATGAGTCTCTCCTTGTCCAGAGCAAAGAAGAACAAAGAAAACCAAAGATGCATAGAAACAATTAGTCCAAGCAACTGGTACACCATGTGATCCTCATCCAATATAACCTCATTCATATAAACTGCTGTGTGGAAGATAGAATATGCTCTGTAAACTTTCACCCAAATCACAATAATTAAAAAAAAAAAAAAAGTGTATGTGAACTGCTGTATGGAAAATGAATTTGCTCTGTAAACTTTCACCCAAATCAGAATTAAAATTAAAGAAGAAGATGATGACTTCAGGGCGTATTTTTGGTTTTAGGTTTATTATTTCAAAGCAACAATTTCAGGGTTCATCCAGTCTCAATGGTTCCAGAAAGTCTGATTTCTATTAAAGTTTGAAAATCCATTCCACATTTTCCCCCTTTTGATCTGGATTTTTCTATAGACTCTTTGATCAAAACATTCAGTAATGGTAACTAGCCACCATCTAGTTCTGATTTCATAGCAAAGGAGGCAGTTAGTTGTTCATGGAGGCAGTTAGCATGCATTCCAGGGAAAACCGATCTTAAATTTATTGGGAAGCACAATAAACACAACCCTTCCTGGTTGCTCACACTCAGAGTCTGCATGTACTCACACAAGGAGACACAAGTCTGCCTGTCTACAGATCCATCCTTTCATTCATTCATCCATATGAAGCTCCAATTACATGCCACTCCCTGAACCAAGTCCTGAGGACACAGGATTCCTGCCCAGTAGACTCTTTTGAGAAAGGTAGATAGACAGTAAGTTTTTATTCCATGTGAGAGAGAAAAAGTACATATTGTAGAAATACAGAGTGGCACCCTACTTAGCTAGAGAGAGACAAGGAAAGCTTCCTGGAAGAGAAAACATCTGAATGAGTCTTAAATTGTAAGTAGGAGTAAAGCAGTAGGAGTGAATAGGTGAGGAGGTAGAAGGGAGTGTGAGCAGATGTGATAAACATAGGGTTCAGCAGGGACAAAGGCATGGAGACGAGAAACGGCAGTGTGTGTGCATGCATTCACGCCCACACAGGCTCGGTGATACAATTGCAAGCAGTTTGGTACAGTGGGACCCACAAAGGTTAGGCTGGGAATGATGAAGACGAGGCTACAAAAGTAAGCAAGGGCCAGAGAATGAAACTTTAAAGCCATAATAAAGCATTTAGAGTTGATCCTATAAGCAATAGGGAGCCACTAGAGTATTTTAAGGATGTTTTGGTTTGTGCCTTAGAAAGATCACTTTGATGGCAGGTGGGGGACATGGGAAACCATAGTACCATCCAATTGAGAGAAAGTAAGAGCCAGGATGGGAGCTCTGGTGGCGTAGTGCCTAAGGCATTTGACTGCTAACCAGAAGGCTGGCAGTTCAAACACCAGCCACTCCTCGTAAGGAAGGTTGGGCAATCTACTTCTATAGTGATATCATCTCAGAAACCCAAGGAAGGGTTGCTATGAGTCAGATCTGACTCAATGGCACATAACAACAACAACAAGAGCCAGGGCAGAGGTAGCAAAGATGTCAAGAAATATTGAGGTGATATACAAGTATGAGACCAGAAGAACTAGATGGTGCCCGGCTACCACTGTCATCCACTTGGAAGGGA